GGGCAGAGTGACTGGGAGGGGACCCTAAGTTCTTACCAAGAATTCCTCTTCCAGCTGCTTGGGGCTGGGTGGCTGGTGCTGCAGGGCCCAGCGGGTGAGGGGGTGTCCAGCTGTGCGCAGAAAGTGTAGGGTGACCTCCCGGGGTGTGTTCACCGAGCAGATGGGTTCCACAGCCCCCAGGGACCGCACATCGAGCATCAGAGCAACATTGGAGCCCCGCCTGCAGACGTAGGCGACCAGCGCCTTGTGAGCGCCCAGGAACAAGGGCTGCTTTAGCCATTCTTACCCAGATCCCCAGGAGATTCCAGGGTTCAGGGCGCCCCCATATCCCTTTTATTTGTCTCTCAGATCAAGGCAGCCTTGAACCTCCAGCTGCCCACCCCTGCCAGTTCCTTGCAGGCTCCTAAAGCTCAGACCTATATCCAGATCTGCTCTATACCCTGCTCCTGGGGCTCCTCGGCCCAACTTAGGGTTTGGGGAGCAGGCACAGGGTTGACATGAAATGTTATATCCCAGACATGAAAATGACATGCAAACGACACGCAAATGAACACATCGGGTTTCCTTTCCTGATTGGAGTCAACAGCTGAGGGCCCTCTGGACCCGGCTGTCAGAGCTGGAGGGGCCGATGGAGGGAACCGGGCGGGGTCCCAGGGCTGGGAAGAGACCCTTCTCCCAGGCAAGATCTCACCTCTCCTGAAGCCTCACATGCTTCTTGACCGGTGCCTTGGTGGGTGGAGGCTGTGTCATGGCTGCCTCCGAAGACCAGGTCAGCAGCTGTGCTCGGGAGCACCCCCCACGGTCCTGGACCATGCTGGGGGGGAGGGTGTTCTGGGCCTCACTCAGCCATGAGTTTCACCTGAAACACAGGGCCCCTCAGCTGTTGACCTCTGGCCTGTCCACCTGGCCAGGAGGAAGACTCCCACGCCCAGGCCAGCTGCCTGCTTTCTGGCACCCCTGTTTTCACTGGGGTGTCCTCTGTTCCGAGCAGTTCTGTCATTATCACTGCAGGAAGGCCGGGATCTCTACAGGGGGACCCAGGACGGTGGGCAGTCTGGGGTTGGGGTAGGGACCAGACAAGGCACAGAGATTGTGACGGGAGGGGAAGGGCAGGAAAGACTCCAGAAGGAGGGTGAGAGCGGACAAGAGGCTGCCTGAGGCCAGAGTACAGAGGGCTCAAAGCTGGGGCCCCAGCAGCAGAGAAGGCAAGGGAGGAAACAGAAACGATGTGTTCTGTGTAGAAGGGAGAGAGAAAGCTCATAGAAACCACCTCTGGTCCAGGCCTTCTCTGAAATGAGAGGGTTGAGGCCTCCTGCACCCCTGGAGCCAGTTGGGGACCCTTGTAGACCCTGTCCTAACTGCTGGTAGTTCCCAAGTTCATTCTGGCTTCTGGGGTCTCTGTCCAGGGAGGTTGACTATGGTGGGGGGGTGTTTCCTTCTTCCTCTGCCCATCCCCCCATCTCCCGCCTCTGTAACCGTCACAGGAAATGGCCTCACCAAGCCCTTGAGCGGCAGTGCATGGTGAGGCGACAGCTGGGGCACAAGAGGGGGACATGGAGGTGGTGGGGCCCCTCTCCTCTTGGGGGACGGTCCCCAGCTTCCAGAGCCAGGTCATAGCTTCCGAGGGGTGGTGGCGGTGTGAGAGTCGCTAAGCCCACAGGCACAGAGGTGAGGGGACAGGGTGAGCCCGGCTCAGATGTGTGTGGTAGAGAGAAGCTCTCCCAAAGCACGCAGGGGGTTGTTGACCTCTGCTCTCCATGCAACTCCCCCCCGTGGCTCCCCTGCCCCGTGCTCCTCGGGGATATCAGCTAGGTCAGCGCCCATTCCCCAGCCGGGCACTGTAGTTCCCAATGCAACCTTACTCACACGGGCCTTGGAGATTCCCCCTCGCCCGCCCCCCCGGGACTCACCCCCCCACCCCGGACCACAGGGCCCCTCCTCCCCCCATTCAGGTACTTACTGAAGCAGCTGTGTCTCCCAGGCTGCCTCTTGCCAGCTGTCTGTCTGTCTGTTGGTCGGTCTTTGAGGGCTGAGGAGGCTTCAGGAAGCCGGCTTCCTCCCTCTGCCCCTCCTTGCTGCCACCCACGCACACCCCAGCTGCGTGCTGCCCTCCTGCACCCGCTGCCACCACCAGGGGTCGGGTGCCTCTTGCCTGTGCCCCTCTGGGGGTGGGCTGGCTGTGGCCTGGCACTTCTGTCACGGGCCTAAGGCCCTGCTCCGTGGGGATGGAGAGGGAGGGGCCGGCCCATTCCTGACCACCCTGGTCCCCTAGCTGCCAAACCCCCTTGCTCCCTGGACTGCTTGTCCTCTGGGCCTTTGTCACATCCAGTCCCTGCCCGCTTCCTAGGCGGAACTCAGCTGACCCCTAGCGCCACGCTGGCCCACACAGAAACCCCAAGTTTTTCCTGCTCAAGCTGGCCCTGTCCAGAGACTGACTTCTATCTGCTTCTGCCTCAAAGCCCCCGTCCCGGAAGCCCTTGCCCCTTCAAGTCCTGTGAGTTCATGGTCAGGTACACGTTGTACCTTCTCAAAGCAGAGCTGGGTGTGGACTTGAGGTGGGCTGGGAGGTGAGGAAGGAGGCAGGACTCCTTGCTCCACTCTGGGGAAGAAAGGCCCAGGCTGGACCAGAAGGGTCGTCCCCAGTATTCGAGCCACACCCAGCTGTCAGCTACCGGTGGCTGGAGATAGACCAGCTGGCCAGGAAGTAGAGAGGAGAGACAGTTTGTAGGAGAGTCTGGGGGGCTTTCTCTCTGCCCCCAGCCCCTCCAGGCTTCCTCCCAGAATCCTGACATCTATTAGAAGACTTACAGAGAGTGGACAGTCTCTGGCCCTCACACCAGGGGGACTCCCGTGTCTTCTTCGCTTCTGGGGCGCCTGGATGACTGGGGCTTAGGAAGTGGCCCCTGCGTCCAAGACTCCACTGCCCCCCACCCCTGCCTCGCCTTGGCAGGCCCCTTGCTGGCCAGCAGCCCAGCCAGTTCATGCTCGCTGCACGGCTTCTTCTACCTTGTAACATTCCAAACACCCTTCCCTTCCTGGCCCCAACACGCGCAATCCCCATCCTCTCTCTTCCTCCCACTTCTCTGATTCAGCTGTCAAATGGTGACAGCAAAAAAGAAATGACTTACAGTAGACACAGGGGGTGCACACACAGGAAGGATGGTGGGGAGGGGGCTGGCCTCTGCTGCTGGCCCATAGGGGGTTGGGGGGGACAAAGACCAGAATGACCCTTTGGAGCTCGGGAGGCCTCCTAGTGCCTGTTGCTCCCAGAAGGGGTGGGGGTGGGGGACCAGGCACTGGCTCCTTTCTGAGCCCCTCCAGGGCCAGTTGGTCTTGGACCCTTCTTCACTCTGGGGAGTGGGTGGTTTCCCTGAAAGGAGGGGCCAGAGTGGCAGTCAGCCCTGGTACCAAGGACAGGGTAGGGGCGGGGGCAGGAGAGCCTGGGAATCCCTGGTAAATCTGTGGGAAGTGACCCGAAGTTGACTTCTCTCCTCAACTGCTCCCCAAACCTTGGGGATCAAAAAAGGGGGCAGGAGGGGATCACAAAGAGGTCCACCCCCATGGGGCCAGGCTGTTGATTGTTATCAAGAACAGGAAGCTAGGATGCCACAGGGGTGGGGAGGAGGAAGCAGGCAAAGCCTTCCCCCCACTGGTCCGCCAGTACCTCCAGGTTTCTACCAAGTTTCTAGGGTCTGAGCCCCGTGGTGAGCCGTGAGCACACCCTCTACCCTCCCAAAGCTGGGCCCAGCAGCGGTTTGAGGAGCTGGAAGCTGAGCTCTCCGGGGAAGAGCAAGGAAGCTGGGGGCCAGGAGGTGGGAGAGGGAGTTGGGGGTGGGGGCAATGGCATTGGGCAAGACCCTGAGGATCTCTCAGTTCCCTTTGGGTGTGTTTGGGGTTGGGGGGATAGTCACTCCTTGCCACCTGTCCTCGCTCTCCCTTCTGCTTCTGCTCCTGCTCATGGCAGTGTGCGGCTAGAGCTCAGGAGGCGTGAGCACACCACCCACGAGCCTCAGAGAGGACAAGGTGCCCTGCAGCAGCTCCTCCCCAGACCAGCCAGGCTGCTGGAACGGGGGAAGGCCTGGTGTTCCCTCAGAGAGACTCCACCGCCCCCAGAACCTTCCTCGTTCCTGGGGTGGAACAGCCCCAGACAGCTCTCAAACCTCATCTCTCCAGGAGCTGATTTGCCTTCCAGAGCTGGGGTTTAGGTCCCAGCCATCCCTTGACCCCAAAGAAAATACAGAGATCATTGAAAGCCAGATTGTGTCACATGCAATGACTCGAAACTGTGCCACATTAGCTGTGTGACCCTGGGTGAGTTACTGAACCTCTCGGAGGCTCAGTCTCCACATCATGCTATCAGGCTTCTCCCTTCCCATGCGGAGGATCCTGGCTTCTCTCTGATCCATCAAACGGGGCTGGGCCTCTGAAGGGCTCAGGAGCTGTCGGCGGGGGGGGGGGGGGGGGGGCAGCAGGCCTGGGGAGGGGTCCAGGAGAGGAATGTCTGGTGGGAAGATCCATGTCTCCTCTCTCCCAGACCCCCTTCCTCCAGACTGCTCCCTTCCTCCAGCCAGTCTGCAGGGACAGAGCAGCCTGGGCCCATGCCTCCCGCCCCCCGGCTCAGCAACCCCCCCTCCACTCCCCAGTCCCAGGGCTGCCAGCCACAACTTGCTGTCCCCAGTGTCAGAAGTCCCTTGGAGGGGCAGCTGTATCCTTCCCAGAGGTTCCTTGCTCTCTGGCAGCACCTGGGGAACAGGCCAGGCGGCCACCAGCTCCGGAGTCAAAGCCTGCCACCCTGTAAAATTCCAGAGGGGAAGGATCTTGGGTACTGGACCTGCTGCTGGGGCGCCAGGACTCCGGGCCCCCACCTACTCCACCTGTCTTGTTCCCCTCCCTAGCCCTTTTCATGCCTCTCTCCAGAAGCCCTAGGATCATAGCTCCTCCCCCACATCGCCCCCAAATCCTGGGCCAGCCGAGGCCTGCCTCCACCCCAGTGCTGCAGGCTCCTGTTTGCCCTGGCTGTGTGAGGGACACGGAGATGCAGAGAGCTAGGAGCCGGGAGACCTCATCCTACAGAAGCGGGGAGGCCCTGGAGGAGAGATCCTGGGTGAGTGGGGCAGACTGTTGCTGTTAGGCCGTGTGGCTGTGATCTGGGCCCGCTGGTGTGAAGTCTGAAGGAAGAGGGAGACCCAGGGCCCTACCTTTGTTCCAGCCATCCCGGAAGCTCATCCCCCGCCCGACCCACTTTCCTTGACACCTTTTGGGGACCCGTTGGTGAAGGGGACTTTCCCATACCCCAACCCCCGCTGAAGGACCAGTGAGTCAGGCCAGCTCAGCAGCTGGGGAGCCAAGGCCAACCTGCCTTGAGATCCAGGAAAATGTCCCATTCTTGGCCCACTTGCTGGAACTCAGGTCCCTTGTTGGAGGACTCTAGGACAGAAGAGAGTCCCTCCCTCTCTCCCAAATCCAGAGCTGGTGAAATGGACATCTGTTGTACAACAGGGTCCTTCCTCCCAGAGACCCTCCTGTCCCTCTCCCCCTCCACGATGTCCTTGGACACCCCCATGTACACACAGACGCCCACATGAGGACGTTCATCCAGATAGGTGTGTGCACCCTCGCGGCTCATGCATGCACACACACACGCACAGAGTGTGTCCCTCCACACTCGTGCCCAGGCTGCCTGCTCTCCATGCACCCGCCTCACCGATCTGCAGCCTCCCGCCCCTTGCTGCCTTCCCACAGCCTGGCCAGAGGAATCTAGGCCTCCTCCCTCCCCGGTGACCTTCCCCAGGACGTGGGAGGAAGAGTGGGAGACTTGGTTGTCCGGATCCATCTACTCCTCCCCTGCCCGGTGATTATCTTCCCCTAGCGAGGGGGATGCCCAAGGCCAGGATTTAGGCCATGGGAGAGGAGGGGGAGGGCCGGAAGGGAGCCTTGTGGGACAGCTGCAGGGAGAGCCGGGGCTGGCTCACAGTTGGGAATCAAGATGCCTGGACCTGTCTCTTGCCCTCTTCTGCCTCCCAGGTGGTTCTCTCCAGAAGGAATCAGTAAGGTGCTTTGAGACCTTAGGAGGACCCCAGGGGTTCTCTAGGGAGAGGATGTGGGTTTGTCTGTGGGAGGGGTTGCCGGGCAGAAGACTCAGCCCTTGTGGTACTTTTTTTGCTGAATGGAGAGGCTTGGGCTGGGGAGGCGGCATCTTATATGTCAGATCCTTTCTACCCCCTCTCTGGAGCCCCTCTTCCATCCATAGGGCTGGCAGGGGCCTGACAGGTGTGCCTTCTGTGGCTGGGTGCCTCCTCTGGGAATGTCCACAAGACCGGCTATGGAGTCCTGGGTGTTCTCAACAAGCCCCTCTTTTGTGGGGAGACTCTTAGGCAGGGTCTAAGACCTGACCCCCCACCCCACAACCTCATCCTGCCACAGCTCTTCTACTTAGATTCTGAATTAGGATATTTCCACCCGCCTTCCTCTTCTCCCCTGTGCTGCTGCTGATGGACACTCTGCTAGAAAGAGTAGAGTGAGGTGACCCAGGGGAGGTGGGATGGACCTCTTGGCCAGACCAGGATCTTGTCTCTTGTATCAGCTTCCCCAGTTGCTCTTTGCGCTTCCCCACTGCTCCCCTTTGAAAGAACACATGCGTGCATGGATATAGACACACACACACACACACACACACACACACACACACACGCTGCCTGGAAAATCTGATGATTTTGCAGTGCTCAGTTTCCAGGCCCCTGTCCAGAGGCCGGGTGGGTGGCTCTGAGGTTTGGGGCTGGGTGGAGTGGGGGAAGGGCAGGCAGCCCCTGGTTCTGAACTGAGCCACAGGGAGACTGAGCGGGTCTCCATGCAGGCCTGTCCTTCCTGCTGGGTCTGGCCCCTGAGAGCCTGGCTCCCACCAAGGGGTCTCGGTGTTAGGTTTCTATACCTGCCTGTTTTCTGCCTATTCCCCCTCCCCATTTCCTGAGTTAGCGTCTGAGTCCTGGGCCTCTTTCCCGGGGCCCAGAGCCATTTCTTCCCCTTCTGTTCTCCCTCCCCTCCCCACCGTCAGCTGTCTTGGGGTGGGGACACATGGGTGAGCAGTTCCAGGTGAGGAGCTGGATTTAGGCCCAGGTGAAGCCATCTTGCTTTTAGGCCAAGCCTCAGGGAAGCTCCCGTGGGCCTTCACCTGCCTGCAGCCTGGTGGGGCCTGGGTGGGGGAGAGGTGGGAGGCGGCAGGGAGATGGGTGGGCACCACTGATCTAGGTGGGCGGGGGAAGGAAAGCAGATATCCTAGAGATTTAAGTAGCTCCTCAGAGGGGTTCAAGCTGAGGGGACCCGAATTTGGGGACGAGGACCAGGATTTGCCTTCTGGGGCTGGGCGCTACCCTCTCTGGAAATCAGCTTCCTTATCTGGGCGGTGAGGATATGGGAACAGATTGGTCCCAAGGGCCAGGTGGGCTCTTCTAGATCTATAATCCCTGTGACTCACAGCCTTTAGAACGTGCTCCTGTGCCTCTGTCCACAAAGGCATGGTGCCACATGGATGCCCAGAAGGGGACACAGACTCCCAGTGGGTCCCTCCACTCCACAGCGACACACATCCATGTGGTGTCACCAGGATCCACCCCTCCCCCCACAACAGAACCCAAACAGCCTATCTCCCACGTATTGATAGAGTCAACAGAATCACACTCGTCCCCTGGGGTCAGGGAGCAGGGAGCCAGCTGCTTCTGCTCTGTGTGTCTACTGGCAAGGCCATCTCTTGTCTTGGTCTTTCCAGAGGCCTCCCTGGAAAGTCAAGTTCTGGAGGAGGGGTGGAGGCGGGGGAGGCAGCGGGAGAGGTGGGCTTGTCTGAAGCCTGACAGGTGCCGTCCCCTTCTACCTCCCGGGCCCTGGGGTCTTTCTCCCCTCACAGAAACTTGCCAAGTTTCTGCTGCTGCACTGGGTGCAGTGAGCGGTTAGGGTCTGGGCTGAGAGGCAGCCCCTCGCTCTTTGGCTTCCTGCTGCCTGCCATCTGCCTGGAACTCGGCCTTCCCAACCTTGCCCGCCTGCCCATCCACCCGCCAGCCCGCCCGCCCGCCCGCCTGCCCGCCAGCCAGCGGGGCAAGGGGAGGGCTGGGGGGACTGGCTCCTCCCCTGCTGCATCTTGTCTTTCCTTTACAGACGTCGGGATGAGGCTCTCAATGCTGTTTGCTGCCTTCCTCTGGCTCCGGGGTTTCTTGGCCAAGGTATGGTGGGTGCTGGGGGCAGGTGGGCGGATAGGGCCCTGTCCTCCGGGGCCTGTCCAGGCTCCCACCTCCCTGCAGGGCCCCACAGCTGGTCTACATTAGGCAGAGCAGAGGCTGCTCCTTCCTAGCTGCTGGCTCTGAGCACAGCAAGAACGAATTGCTTCTGCCTGCCCGGGGCTGCCTCCCAAGCCATCTCAGAAGGGGTGATGTCCTTTTGGCCCTGTCTGGGGGAGGGCTGGACTAGAGGACAGCCTTCTCTCTGATCCTGGCCCTGTCCCCCAGTGGCTTTCACAGAGGCTTAGGGTTCTGGGGTCTCCTCTCCCCTCCTCCCTTCCTTCCCACAGGGAGATGAGTGTCATTCCCTGGCCAGGAGCCCGGACGGAGAGAGTGGAGGTAGGTGTCTTCAACAGGGGAGGAAGGTCTGGGAGGTGGGGAGTGGGGGCAGGCTCAGTTTCTCCATGCCAGACTTGGCCTCTACTCTGCACACCCCCCTTTTCTTTTTCCTTCTGTCCTTTTTTAGAGGAGAAAGGGCTTTGGGAGACTCTGAGTGCACCCTCTTTCCCCAGGACCACCTCTGAAAGTCAACGTGAGCAGCCAGGGCAGGCCTACTAGCCTCTTTCTGAGCTGGGCAGCCCCAGGGCCAGACAAGCTGAGCCATGCCCTCCGCCTCACCCACCTGAGTCCCCTGGGCTCTCCAGAAGGGCAAGCGCTCCAGGCCCACACCAACACATCCAGCTTTGAGTTCCGGGACCTGGTACCAGGAAGTCGCTACCTGCTGGAGGTGACTGCCCTGCAAGCCTGTGGACAGAACACCACCATCACCATCACCGCCCGCACTGGTGTGTGATCCACAGGCTAGGGGGGCCGGGAGTGGGCCGGCATCACCCAGGGTCCGAGCAGGAGATAGCTGTCCTGGAGGGTTGGCCAAGGAGGGCAACTTCTCTGAGGACCATGCCTGGTCCAGTGACCCATGTAGAAGCACTAGAAGAACAGGGTTGATACCCCTTTGGCCCTGACCTTGGTGCTTCTCTCCACCTCTGACGCAGCCCCATCGACTGTCTGTAATTTGCGGTTCTACAGCCCTGGGAGCCCATCCAGCCTTGAGGCCTCTTGGGGGGCTGCCCCCGGGGAGCAGGATGGCTACCAACTTCTCCTCTACCACCCAGAATCCCAGACGCTGGTGCACAATATCTCCACGCCACTGGGCACCCTGTCCTATAATTTCAGCCACCTCCTAGCTGGTAGTGAGTATGTTCTGGAGGTTACTACCTGGGCTGGCAACCTCCAGGCGAAGACCAGCGTCCACCAGTGGACAGGTAAGGCAGGCACCTGGCAGGGCACGGGTGGCAGCCGATCTGGGAGCGATAGAGGCCATCAGAGCCTCACGGGCAACCCTGTCGCCACACAGCTGGTTGACGCTGGGACGGCCTGGGCTGGCGTCAGGGTCCGACTCCGGGCCTCTTTCTCAAGCCTGGCTTTGTTCTCGCCATCTTTCTTCCAGCCCCCGTGTCTCCTCCCAAGCTGGTGCTGCGGTCCCTGGGCACCAGTGCCCTACAAGCCTCCTGGAACAGCTCCGAGGGGGCTGCCTGGCTCCGCCTCATGCTCACGGACCTCCTGGGTGGCACCAACCTGACCACGGTGGTCAGACGCGGGGTCTCCAATCACACCTTCCTGCACCTCTCTCCAGGCACCCCCTATGAGCTGACGCTCAGTGCTGTGGCCGGGCTCCAGCAGGTGGCGGGGCCCAATGCCACCGAGTGGACCTGTGAGTGCTTTGGGGGGCATCCGGGGGACACAGCAGAGGCTCCTCAGCTCTTCTCTGGCAGAGGGGGTGAAGGGAGAGGGATACAACAGGTGGAGGCGGGTGGCTTTGGATTCCACGGGGAAGGGGTGAGGCTCGCAGGGAACACCCCTCCTGCTGGCCGGTGGGGCGTCCACGTGAGGCAGTGCATGGGGTTACTTAGAGCCCCGCTGACATAGATACCCCTGGTCACTGGATGTGTCATTATTTCTGTGACCGTTGTCCGTGGCCAGATCCCAGAATTCACCCAGAATGGCAAATGGCGTCTGCCTGCCTCTGGACAAGACACTTTCTGGTGCAAACAGGTGGAAGCTGGCACGAGGAGGGGAAGATGGCTCTCGTCCACCATTTGGGTTTTTCTGCACATCTTTGCTCTTTGCCCCCCTAGATCCCTCTGCCCCTCTGGACCTGGTGCTCATTCCCCTGCCCTCTGCACTCTGGGCAAGCTGGAAGGCAGGGCCGGGTGCCCGCGATGGCTACCTGCTCAGGCTGAGCGGGCAAGTGGAAAAGAACAGCACTCGGGGCCCTGGAGCACTCAACGCCACATTCCCGGGACCCCTGCCCGCTGGACACTACATTCTGGAGCTGAGGGCTCTGGCTGGGCCCTACAGTGCCTGGGCCTGGGCTAGTGCCTGGCTGCGTGGTGAGTCTGGGCTGGTGGGGAACAGGCTGGGAGGCAGGCACAGCTCTATGATGAGGGAGCCCCAGGCCTCCTTGGAAACACCTCTGTGCCACCTGCCACCACCAGGAGCACGACCCAGAGCCTCACAGACCATACCAGTGAGTGCCAGCTACTGTGTCCCCTGACCCCGGGGTGAGGCCTTTCCTTGGGGAGGGACCTCTGGGTAGGGGGGGAAGCTCAGGAAAGCTGGGAAGGGGCTTCTCAGGGCCACAGACACTATATGGCCCCCTGACCAAACTGCACCTCCCTTCAGAGCCCCTGGTGCCCCAGTCCCTGGAGGTCACTGGCAGGAGCAGCCCCTCTGACCTGGCTGTGGGTTGGGCCCCAGTATAGCAGGGGCAGCAAGAAGGCTCCAGGGCCACCTGGCATCAGGAGGGCAGCCAGAGGTCATGGGGCAGTCTTGTTGCCTTGGGACCAGAGAGTTGCAGCCTGACTCCCAGGTCTCTAATGCCCGGCTCCCGCTACATTGTGTCAGTGTGGACCTGGGCAGGGAACCCCAGCTCCAGCATTGTGAGGACGTGTGCCTGCCCCCATGAGTTCCCGGGCTACAGCTTTCGGGAGGCTGGCCCAGGACTGTGGGGCTGGGGTCCTGGCTTCCTTTACTGTCTGCTCTTCTGTGTGCACGTTCTGGATTTGGAGGGTCACGTGCCCATCCAAGGGGGACTTTTGGTGAATCTGTTTGCAAGTATTTTCTACTTCCTACCCTCGGGTCGGCCATCCATCCATCCATCTAGCCAACAAATATTTAGTGTTTCCCATGTTTTAGGTATGGGGCTAGGTGCTGAGGTTAAAACTCATGAATAAGACAATCTAAAAAAGAAGACTGACAAGTAAACAGAAGAGTATATATACATGTATACACACATGCACACACATATTCTATGCTATTTTATGTATCAGATCGCAAACGTAAACACAGGATAGGGATATGCACGATGTATTTCAAACCATATGCAGACTGTTTTCTTACAGGTTAAAATTGATGACTATCAGGGATTTTAGGTGATTCAGTCTAATATTTTAGGACTCACAAAAGGGAAACCTCTTAGGGAGTCAGGGAAGGCTTCCTGGAGGAGGAGGAGGAGAGTGAGCTGAGAAGGCTACGGTCTGAGTCAGACAGACAAGGGCTTTCTGGAGAGGCTAAGCATACACCAGGGCCCTCAGGAGAGGTGGTGTGGGGAGGGAGGAGGGTGAGAGAGAAAAGGAGAAAGAGGGAGAGAGAGAGAGAGAATGAGCTTCTGGGAACTGAATGTCAGCAGGTGAGCTGACCAGGGCCCTAGGGGGTTAAAGAGGTGGGTGCTGGGTCTTGTGGGGATCCTGTGAGCCAGACATCACACCCTCAAGGAACTGACAGTGTGGGGAGGAGGTAGGGGAGCAGACAGGGCAGAGATCCATGTTTTTCAAGTGGTTTCCTTCCTTCCTTCCTTCCTTCCTTCCTTCCTTCCTTCCTCTCCCTCTTTCTTTCTTTCAGATTTATTTAGCTATTTGAGAGAAGTGGGAGGGGCCTGGGGGAGGGGGAGAGAGAATCTCAAACAGACTTCCTGCTCAGCGTAGAGCCAGATGCAGGGCTGGATCTCACGACCCTGAGATCATGACCTGAGCTGAAATCAGGAGTCAGAGGCTTAACCAGCTGAGCCACCCAGGTGCCCTTTTCTTGGAAAGAAAATTGAGCGTGCTTGGAGCCCCACAGAAGCTGGATTTGTAGGCTGGCCATGTTTGGGGCTCTTGTGGAGACCCAGGAAAAGGGTGCAGGTAGTGGGGAGGGAGAGGGGAAAGAGACAATGGTAAGGCATTTGGGTCATTCCAATGCTGTTTCTTCCTTGACCTTGCAGTCCCTGCTCCTCCTGCCAACCTGAGCCTGGGCCTCGCCTCCCAGCCTCCTGCCCTGACGGCCTCCTGGAGCCCCCCACCCGGGGACAGGGATGGCTTCCAGCTGTGGCTTTACCGCTTGCAGCCCCTGACTCTGGAAAGCAGGGAGACTCTGCCTCCGGAAGCTCAGAACTTCTCCTGGGCCCGGCTGCCCCCAGGCACCGAGTTCCTGGTTCAGCTGGCCACCCTGCGGGGGCCAGATGAGAGCAGCAGAGCCAATGCCACAGGCTGGACGCGTGAGTGCCACCCGCACACCCCTTTCTCCCTGGCCACCCTTGCCGGCTGGATTCCCCGGAAACTATGTGTTCTCCTAGATGTCTTTGTCCCTCCCAGGGACCATGTGACCTTAGATAGGCCTGAGAAGAAGCTGGAAAGAGCTCTGGCTTAGGAGGCAGGAGACCTGGGTGCTAGCTGGGGCTCCATCCCCAGAGCAAACCTTGTTCCTCTCTGAGCCTCAGTTTCCCCCAGTTGCAAAGGAGGTGCTGACTAGGTGACTGGGCCAGGCTTATGTGACTCCGGGGCCTGGGCTCCAGCTGATGGTGAAGGGGTGCTGCTTGGGCCCCCAGGCATTGCCTGTCCTCGAGAACCTGCACAGTCACGTGGGGGTCTTTAAAAGCTGCTTGGGTACAGGGTCTGGAGCTGGGAAAAAGCACCTGATTTAATCCTGGGGCTGTCCAGTCCAGCCCTGAGTCCGGGAGTGGTGCTTTGGTAGGGAGAGGGCCTGATTCATTCGTGTACTCCTGGGTGAGCTTGTGCGCGGCTGTCAGGGACGAGCTGTGAGCCGTGATGTGCGGCCGCTTCTGTTGGGGAGACTGTTGGGGAGACGCTAGGGCTCACTTGAGCACACTGAGCTGCTGTTTCCTGACTGGGGAGGATGGGGGGGACACTCAGGGGAGGGGGGAGCCAGAGGTTTGGTTTGCTTTCTTCTGCATTCATTTGCCAGAGCTGCCATCACAGAGAACCCCGGGTGGGGTGGTGGGGGTGGGACTGGGGCTCCAGGAGCAGAAATGTATTGTCTCCCAGTTCTGGAGGCAGGAATTCTGAGATCAAAGTGTTGGCAAGATTGGTTTCTTCTGAGGGCCCTGAGGGAAGGATGGGTCCCCGACCTCTCTCCTTGGTTTGCAAATGACCATCTTGTCCCTGTGTCTTCACCTGGTCTCCCCTCTGCGCGTGGGTGTGTCTGAATTTCCTCTTCTTATGAGGACATGGGTCCTGTTGTGATCTCATTTTACTTAATGATCTCTCTGAAGACCTTATCCCCCACCCAAAAAAAACGGTTATATTCTGAGGTCTTGGGGATTAGGACCTCAACATGAATTTTGGGGGGGATGTGGTTTGGCCCATAACACCCCTCTTCTCATCAACCTTCCCATATTTTGCTCTCCCCACAGCCCCCCTCGCCCCTCCTCTGGTAAATGTGACCCCTGAAGGTCCCACCCAGCTCCGGGCATCCTGGGTCCATGCTCCTGGGTCACGAGATGGCTACCAGGTGACTCTGTACCAGGCAGGGGCCCAGGCAGGAGCCAGCACCGTGGGAGCTGAGGTGGACAGCACGAGCTTCTCAGCTCTGACCCCAGGCACCCAGTACGAGGTGGAGATTGTCTCGAAGGCTGGGCCCCTCCGCACGGCAGCTGCCAACGCCTCCGGCTGGACCTGTAAGTGGGGGCTGGAGAGGTGGGCAGAGCTGCCTCTGAGACCCCTGGATTCTTTTCTCGATAGTCCCTGAGCCCCCACGTTAGTTCCATTTCCAAAACTCCACACCCGAGGGCCCCACCTGGGGTCAGCGGGCCTGTGGCCTCATGCGCTGTGGCCTCATGCGCTGGGCCCTCAGCAGCCGGCCTTACCCGCTCTCCTTCCCTCCACAGCCCCACTCACGCCCAGTGAGCTGCTGGTGTCCATGCAGGCGAGCAGCGCCATAATCAGCCTGGCCTGGGCCAGCGGTCCCTGGGGGCACGGGCTGTGCCATGCCCGACTCTCAGAGGCTGGCCGCCTCTCCTGGGAGCAGCGTCTGGGGCTCGGCCAGGCCCACCTCATTCTAAGGGACCTCACACCCGGACGTAATCTCTCCCTGTCCATCCTGTGCCAGGCGGGGCCGCTCCTGGCGTCCACTCACCCCGTGGTGCTGCCTGTTGGTATGTCGGTGTCTGTCGGGGGAGAAGGACATAAACGCCCGGTCCCGGTCCCTTTGTATCTGCTGGCTTTGAGAGCTCCTGACCCAAACGCCAGCCTCTTGGGGTGTCCCGACGCCCACACAACACCAGCCCTTTGCTTCCTGCAGAGCCTGGCCCTGTGGAGGACGTTCGGTGTCAGCCTGAGGCTACTCACCTGGCCCTGAACTGGATGGTGCCCTCGGGGGACGTGGACGTCTGTCTGGTGGTGGCGGAGCAGCTGGCCACGGGAGGGGACGCATACCTCGTCTTTCAGGCCAACACCTCGGGGGACGCGCTCCTCGTGCCCAGCCTCATGCCTGCCACTTCCTACCGCCTCAGCCTCACCGTGCTGGGCAGGAACGGCCTGTGGAGTCGTGTGGTCACCCTGGTGTGCGCCACCTCTGCAGAGGGTAAGTGCTTCCCATGACCTGGGGAGCCCCCTCTGCTCCCTTAACTCCCCTCCAGCATTGCCCACGGAGGTTCTCCCTGCCCTGGCTCTCCCTGCCAGGGGCTCTCCCTGTTCCCCAGCCCCCAGGGCTTTCTTTGGCCCTGATCCACATACCATAGGCTCTTGAGCTCCTGTCCGGCCCCCTTGCCCGGGGGTGGGGGGTGTCCTAGTCTTTATTTAGTTGTGCGCATCTGATACTAGTTGCCAGGCATTAAAAGAGGTGCCAGGGACATGACTGCATGGCCCATACCCTTGGCTCTGGCACCTAGTTAGGACCTCACTCTTCCCCTCGCCATCCCCAGGCTGGCACCCCCCAGACTTAGCTGCAGCCCCCCAGCTGGAGCCGGAGGCAGGGACAGGAGTGATGATCACACGGGGTATGTTTGGCAAGGACGATGGGCAGATTCAGTGGTACGGCATCATTGCTACTACCAACATGTCACGTGAGTCCTGGTCCTGGAGGGGATGGGGAGAGCCTGGCCCCTGCCTAGCATGGGACGGGCGAGGGGGCTCCAGACCCTGGGCTGGTAAAATGCAACGTCCGAGGCTGACGTGAGCACTGGAGCAGGAAGGGAGACCCAGAACATTCTTATGGATAGGGCTGCTGTTGTGCTGTGCGTGGTGGGAATATGTGAGAGAAATGGGGTAGCTGCTTTGTGGTGGGGAGAGTGGCTTCAGCCCCACGGCTGACTCTGCTCTGCCCCTTTCCTGTTCCTCTGCAGTGGTTCGGCCCCCGCAGGAAGCCATCAACCACACGTGGTACGACCACTACTATGGAGGACGTGACTCCTACCTGGCCATCCTGCTTCCCAACCCCTTCTACCCGGGGCCCTGGGCTGTGCCGAGATCCTGGATGGTGCCTATGGGTACAGAGGACTGTGGCCAGACCCAGGAGATATGTAATGGGCAACTCAAGCCGGGCTCCCAGTACCGGTGAGGGCTGAGACTGAAGGGAGGGGGGAGCCCGTTTCATAAGTGAGTTTCACTTACGGGTTGTTTGCACATTTTCTCCATAAAAGATCTGGACTGACTTACAAAGAGAAAGCATTTGCTGGTCCGTGAGGGTCCAGGGAGTTATTTTGACTGGGCCTCCTGACAGGCGAGGCAAAAAAGGGAACACCCATCTGTTACGTGATTCTTTTTTTCAGAAAAAAAAAAAAATACGAAACAGAAACGGGAGGGGGATGAATTCTGTTTCAGCTTGCCAAGGGTGTGCAAACACTTATTTCTAAGGCTTCTTGCTGTGAGAATAGGGTAGGGGAGATGGAAGCGCAGTTAGGGGTGGCTTGTTCTAAACTTGCCACGTGACACATAGCCTGTTAGCAGGTGAGGTGGCCTCTCACTTTCTGAGTGTCTACTGCTCATAACTCCATTTTCTGGAAAGGGCTCTGCCCACTTTGCCCCTCCCCAACAGAAGGTCCTGTTTCTCTGCCCCAGGTTCAGTGTTGTGGCTTTTACCAGACACAGCCCTCCTGAGACCATTATCTCCTTCTCAGCCTTTTCAGGTAGGGTGGGCACCTGGCTATGGTTCCAGCTGGGCCCCAGGGGAGGGAAAGAGTGCTGGGGACCCCCCCCCCTTCTGAGGCTGGAGGAGGGATTGAGTGTAGACTCCAGAGAGAGAGCAATGTCCTACCCAGCAGAGCTGGGAGACCCAGAGCCAGGCATACAGGTGCTCCTGGCACCAGACTTGGCCTGGGTGGGCTGAGGGGGCGAGTAGAGGAGGCAGGGACATTAGTGAAACAGTGTGTCACTCCCCACGATCCAACTACCTTCCAGCACTGCCCTTCTCTGTGCTGCCGCTCCCAGTTCATCGAGGTTCTAGAACAGTCCAACAGTCTAGAACGGTCCGATAGAGACAGAAAGCAGGCCCCAAGTGTGAGCCATATATGTCACTCAATATTCCTCCGTAGCTACATGAGACAGGTAAGAACAAACAGGTGAAACTAATTTTAGTAACATTTTATTTAAACCAAGATATTAAAAAATTATTGTAGCCACATGGGATCAGTTTAAAAATTATTAATGAGATATTTTACACTCTTTTTTCTATTACTAAGTCTTTGAAATCCTATGTGTATTTTTTTTTAAAGATTTTATTTATTTATTTATTTGACAGAGAGAGATCACAAGTAGATGGAGAGGCAGGCAGAGAGAGAGAGAG